GAGGAGGAAAAGGAGGAGGAGGAAGAGGAGGAGGGGGAGGAAAAGAAGAAGTATAATGAGAAAAATAATCGTAGTATTAGTAATAGTAGTATTAGAGGGGAAAGAAGGAGAAGAAGAGAATTAGTAGAAGAGAAGAAGAAGAAGAGGAGGAGGAGAAGAAGAAGGATGAGGAGGGAGAAGAAGAAGCAGTAGTAATAGCAGCAGGAGTGGCCTTCATCATCACCAGAGTGTAAGAACTGCATATCCTAGTCCCAACATCCGGTCTCCCCTGCTCTTGATATGCGACCTAGTTTCAGCTCTGATTGCAGACCAAAGTCGAGTGAGGAGCCCCACTTGGTTCTGTTTCTGCACTCTCTTGACTAAAAAGCTGGGGGAGTCCCGACCACTCCCACTGGCCTCTGTTAAAGACAGAGAGCAGGCAGGTCAGGGACTTAACAGGCAGCAGAGGCCATCCAGTTGCCTGTGGTTAGACAGGACCTTTCTCTGGCCAGTGTGCTGTGGATGGGTCCGGGGCCAGATGGGTGAAGGCTTTCCTTGGTGGAAGCCACCGCCTTCCGGAGCAGAGAAGGGACACACGGTCCAGCGGATGGGAGGCTGGAGAAGGTTGGAAGCGCAGAGGCTCTGGACACACTGTGCTGGCTGGAGAGGATGGACTGTCAGCCTGGCCGGTCAATCGGGCGGGTTGGTGAGGATTCTCAGCACACACGCTGGCCAATAGGTCACCTGGACTAGCCCAGGTCTCAGAAAACCAGGGAGCAGTGCGGTGACCTGCCAGCAAGTGCTTTGCGATGGCACAGAAGGAAAAAAGATTGAGTGATCTGTGTTTGTGCCTCTCTGGCCTGTGCCTGGCTTCTATCTCTCTCTCTGTCTCTCTGTCTCTGTCTCTCTACTCTTCCTCTCCGTCTCCCCCTCCCGCTCCCCCTCCCCATCTCTCTCTCTCTCTGTGTCTCTCTCTCTGTCTCTGTCTCTGTCTCTCTCTCTCTCTCTCTCTCTCTCTCTCTCTCTCTTTGTATGTGTAACAGAGAGAGAGAGAGAGAGAGAGAGAGAGAGACAGACAGACAGACAGACA